GGTGGTGGCTGGTGGGGTGGGGGGTCAGGAGGAAGCTAATCAGTCTATTTTCTTCCTCTTGCCCCTAAATAGTTCTGGGATGGTCAGATGACAGTCAGAAATAAATGCGTAGGTAACTGTGAGGGTGGGGGCTCCCCCTGGCCCGTCCGGAGCCCCTGGTCGTGGGGTTTCTGTGTCTGCCCTCTCCTGCGTGCTCTCTGCCTCCTGAGCTCTCGGGCAGGGGGAAAGGGGTCTCTGGCCTTGGGGCTGCATGTTCCCCGTGACGGTCTGTGTCAGCGGTTGCTGTGCCCTGAAGGGCCTTTGCTGGCTCCACTCCCCTCCCGCATGGCTGCTCTGAGCCTCAGTCTCCCCCTCCGTGACGCGGGCGGCACAGAGGTCAGAGCTCTGGGCCAGTCTGCCTGGGTCCTGAGCCTGGCGCCTGCCCGCCCAGGGACTCTGGGCAGCGGCCACCCCTCTGTGGCCCCGGTCTGCAGCTGCCAAGTGGGGTCGTCACGATGTTGGGAGGATTAGGTAGTGAATCCAGGTCAGGCCCCGTGACCGGCACCTGGGTGAGCACTAGAAGCTGTTCCTCAGGAAACGCTACTGCTGCCACCGTGGAGCTGCCAAGGGGACCTCAGTGGGAATCCCCAGACCCTGCCCTGCATGAGGAGTGGCCCAGGCTTGCCCTGGCCCTCCGCAGCCCTGTGTGAGGAGTCACTGTGGCACTCAGCTCAGCCTCATGAGTCAGGGAACCTCAGAGAAATGACCCGGGAACTTATGCCTCTGCCCTTGGCCTTTGCCAGCCCCGTCTCTGGGGCACTTTTCTCCTGAGGGGCGGGGGGCAGGCAGTGAGAACAGGATGATTCGGTTATAAGGAGTCCCACATGGGGCGGCAGGGGTCCCACGGCTTCGGGGGCCCTAGCCAAGGGGGCGTGTGGCGGGTCCCCTGAAGCGGGTAGGGGTGCAGGGCCATTTGGGGGGTGTTGGGGGGCCGGGTGAGGAGGAAAGGCTGAGGGTGGCAGATTTTCAACGGCAGCAGAACGGGAAAATCCAAACAGTACCCCAGGGAGGGATGTGGTTTGATGGAGGGCAGCATGCGAGTGAGTCAGAAGACACACGACGGGGCGGGGAGGCCGTGGCCGAGAAGGAAACGCAATCTATGCGCTGGACCGAGCTCAGAGACGGAGAGCGAGCGACGGGCACGGGGCAGCGAACAGCAGCAGCGCAGCGAGGGACTATCCCCAGTGGCCGCAGCGCTGAGGTGGCCGGGGCTCAGCGCTTCGCTGTCACTGGGGGCCTCGCCACACTGCATGTGGCAAAGGAAACTGAGGCTCAGAGATGGCCAGGGTGGGCAGGGGACTTGGCCAGGGCTTGCCAAGGCCTCAGAGCGGGCCGGCCTTCCCATCAGACTCCGCCTGCTTCACGCACAGTGACATGGGAAGCGTGTGCCACTGGGTTACGACCTCACTCACGGCAGCAGCGGCTCTACCTGACCCCCAAATTCTCTAACCCCAGACACCTGTGAGGGAGGGGCCCTGACTGGCAGAGGGCAAGGCCGGTGCCTGGGGTCCCACAATGGGCATCAGCAGGTGTCCCCCGCCCAGAGTCCCCAGAGCTCTACAGCACCATGGCCACGCCCCACACAGAGAAAAGCAGTAGGAACGACATGGATGTGGAAAGGGCCCGACCCGTCTCTTGCTACTGACAGAACATGGGTACAGCTCAGGCCCACGCGCCAGACGCCTCGTGTGTTCCCCTTCGTTTCCTCCAGGAACGACGCTGACAAGGGGGGCTCGGTGGTCCCCGTTTTACACCAGAGAACACTGAAGCCCAGAATCACCAGCTAAGAGGTGGCAGAACCTGTGCTTGGTCCCGCAGCCCCGTCCAGGCCTGTTCTCAAGCTCTGTACGAGCGGCAACAAGCTCAGGCTTGGGGACCGGGGACAGGGCAGGGAGGGGGCGCTCTGCCTCAGCGCCGCTGCTATTTGAGGTGTCTCTGTGGGGGCCCCGGTGGACGGTAGGATGTCGAGCAGCGTCACCAGCCTCTACCCACTAGATGCCAGTGGCACTTGCCCCTCAAAGTGTGACAAACACAAGTATCTCCAGACATGGCGTTTCCCGGGAAGGGGAGGCGAAACCACACTGGCCGCGCACCACTGGGCTACGGTTCAGTTGCCGCCAGGTGGATCTGCCATGAGGGACCAAGGAGGGAGGGCGCAGGGTGGAGGTTGTTTTGGGTCAGATTATGAGTCACTTGGGAACTGCTTTGGTAGAAATAAGTAGACCTCCCAGTCATGGCTGATAACGCTGCAGAGACTGACGCTAGGGTTAAGTTTCGGGTACGGGTTAGGGTTCAACGGGGCAGGAAGAAGAGGGTTTGGATTTGTTTGGGGTTCCTAGGCTTCCGGGTCGCAGATACAGGACACGCAGTGAAAACTGGGGGTTGGGGCAGGTGTGGGGAAGGCCTGGGCTTCCCACCCAATCAAGTTCGTTTGCTTCAGTTGATTTTGGGAGTCTGGTTTTATGAAGCAGTTTCTAGAAAAGTCAATCCTTCCGGATGAACACTCTTTAGGGAGGAAACCCCACCCAACTGGTCTGCTTCTAGAACCACAGTGACAGACCTAATGGGGTTTAGGCCCAGTCTGAAAGAGCCAGGGACCTCCGCGGCCCATCCAGGCAGCTAACGGTGACGGTGGCCATACAGGTGTGCGAGGGACAGGGCTGGTGCCTTACGTATACTCTTTTCTCTGAGTTGGTCCAAAGACCCCAAGTGCTCGGTATCAAAACTTTCACCGAGTCTCAGAGTGGGCAGAGCCTGCCCAGGGGATGCCCAGGGCCCTGGGCGGAAGTCAGGGGTCCAGACCCGAACGGGGGAAGGGCGCAGATGGCAGAGGACAGACTCATGGAGGCCCTCGTCTCTGGCCTGACCTCTAGACAGGGGCCCCCTTCCCATTGAGCCCTCCTGTCCCTCCTTCCCACTTCCAGAACCCCCGGGCCCGGTGGGGGACACTCACTGCACGGCTGGCTCTGGGGGGCTCTCTCAGCACCCATGGCCTTTCTGGTTAGCCTGGGACAGAAGTCATCGTCGGGTGTGTGCGGAACCTGGGTGAATGGTGTGGCTCTGTCCTGATTCTCGTTAGACCAGAGGTGCCAGGGTCCTGGTGTGGGGTCAGAGCGGTTGGGACGCTGTGGAGGGCAGGCCCTCCTTTCTCAAAGGGAGGCCGCAGTGTGAGGGTTTCTTTGAGATCAAAAGAAAAGCCATCACCATAAAGCCAATCGCTATCTTACCCCTAACCAAGGAGAAGAAACGCAATACCAGCTCACTGAGGAGAGATTCACCTTTAATTAACGGAGAGGAACGTGAGTGGAGGCCATTTGTCGGGGCTGGCAAGGAAGCACATCTGTTTCCTCCTGGGAAGGGGAAAGCACAGTTACAACGCAGCCGCCTCCCCCAGGGGCTCCCGCCTCACCTACCCCGGCTCTGATCCGGGGGCCCGACTCCCCCAGGAAGCCCACTGGGCCATCGTCCTGGTTTACTGTGATCGCTTATGTTCTTCAAAGTCGGGGGGGCCTACAATTCCTCGGGGTGTGGGAAAATGCTAGAACTCTGACTTGTTTTTATTTTTAAAAATTCAACTAGGAGAAAGCAGTTAAGCTTTACTGTTTAATATGGAAAATAACAGGTATATTATATACACTGGAAATGAAAGCTCAAGAAATTTTTTTCTTATATCCATTGTGTGGCCCCTGCCAGTGACCTCCCTGGGGACAAATGCCACAGCAGGATCTGGCACATAGCGGGGACTTCAAAAGTGGATGTTGATCGAACAGGTGCAGCTGAAACACAAACGACTCTGTACTTTCTAAGGGCCTCGCGGCCCCGTCTCTCGTCCCCAGGTGCAGGGGTCAGACTGGGTTGCACATGCCATCAAGGCTCACGCACTGCACCAAGGGCCACTGCGCTAGGAAGAGGAGCTTTAGGAGAAGCCACCGGGATGTGGGGGTCCCCTTCCTCTCGTTCATTCCCCGCCTTCTGTGGCTTCTGCTGGGATGCGACACCTGCCCTCGGGAGCTCAAGAACAGTCCAACGGAATGCCTGTGACCATGACTCTGGGAAACTGGACCATAAATCTCCAGGAACCAGCTTCTGGCACCCCTTAGCCAAAACATGGCTTAGCAGGGCACAGGTGGAGGGAGGCTGAAGGGCAGACTGTGCCCCGCTGAAGGGCTTCGCGCCACTCACGCCCATGGAGCTGGGGCTAAAGGAGGAATGTCGGGCCGGTGTCTGGACGTCGCCTGATGCAAATCTGCCCCCAGTGACACCTGTTTTCCACTGATGAACACGAGCAGAACCCTCCACCTAGCCCCAGGTAACTGTGAGAGGAATGCTGGGGACACCTAGGGCCCAGGTACTGTGAAAGCTACTGACCCCCTTAGGGATGGTGACGGATGACTGGACGCTGATGTGTATTCTGGACTATAACCCAGAACGTGACCTCCGACAGGTTCCCCACGCGCTCCTCTGCTGCCGCCAGCACCGGAGGAGCCTGCCTTGAGTGTGTGTGTGTGTGTCCCCCAACGCCTAAACGTTATCGTTCCGTCTTGCTTGTCTCTGAGTCCAGACGCATCCCACGTGAGTCTTCTGGAACCTGCTTTTTACCCACTCGTCTCCTTCCAAGTTATCTACATTAACGGCAGCCTTTTTTGTTCTGCAGTAGATTTTATTTTATTTAGGAAAGCGACATACAGTTCCAGGTATTTCAGGGTGCAGCAAAGTGTAAAGACAAAAACGAAAAACGCCTGGGGTCCACCTGGCTGCTTTCTGCCTTCGGGACACTGGATCACACTGTGACTGACCAGGTTTGCTTTGGCACCAGGAAGCTCAGAACCAAGTCTGCGGCCGCCTCTGCCACGGTGGCCACTTCAGCGGGTATCGGGATTAACGTTTTATGCCAGGTTTCATCTCTGTTGTTCGTTCATTCAATAAACGTGACACGAAGGGACACAAGAAACATCCCCTGCCCACAGGGGCTCGCAGTCTAACGGAGAGGCATAGAGCAGAGAGCCGGCACAACGCAGGGGGGCAAGTGTTAACAAAGGGACACGCTCAGTGTGCTGTGGGGACCGCGGCTCGGCCACCTGGCGGGGCTGTGGGGTGGCCTAGGGTAAGGAGACCTGAAGGATGAGGAGGTGTCCGCCGGGCGACGTGAAGACCTCCCGGCTTGAGTCTGACCCTTTTTCTAACACGCCCGTCCCAGTCCTTCATCTGACCCGTCTCCTCCTGTGAAATGCTCCATCCCGTGGTCTGTTCTAGTTACAAGTCACCTCTGCACAGGTGGTTCATTTCCTCGGCCGTCTCCCGAGGGCGGAGGCCGCGCAGGGAGCCCAGCCCGGAGACAGATGGCCATCAGGCCAATGGGCATGTCTCCCACACGTGGCCGAAGTGAGCAGGAGGCGGTGCTGGTGGTCAGTGATAGGGTCTAGGGCACACACAAGACACACAGAGTGCACACGGCCTAGCCCAGAGCACCCAGACTACTTGCCCATGCGGAAAGTCACGCCACAGAGTTCTCCCGACAGCACGACTGTTTGAAAGAAAGAAACAAGGGCTTTGCTGCAGACGAAAGCGAAAGCGAGCCCAGAACTGCGCGCCCCGCCGCGCGTGCGCGGAGCCGCGGGCCAGGCCGGTGCGGCCCGGCTCAGTCGAACGTGATGCGGAAGCCGCGCTCCTGCTCCTTGCGTCGCCCCTCGCACACCCTGCTCACCTCCTCCACCTTCCTCTGCAGCAGGGCCGAGTTCTGGTCGACCCACTGCAGCGAGTCCATGTGCGCGTTGAGGATCTTGCAGATCTGCTGCAGGGGGTCGCTGGTGTCGGCGGGGCCCCCGGACGTGTTCAGGTGCTCGATGATGTCCTTGAGGTCCTGCGCCATGCGCTTCAGCTGCGCGTCGATGTTCTCGGCCAGCTTGTAGGTCTTCTCGCGCTCCTCGTCGGCGTGCTGCAGGTGCACGGTCCCGCTCTGCTCCTTGACCGACTCCTCCAGCGGGCTGAGCAGGTCTTCCAGCTCCTTCTGCTGGGACAGGATGAAGTCCAGCTCCTGGTCCAGCCTCTTCTGGTCCAGCTTCACCTTCTCCACCTCGCGGTGCAGGGTGGTGATCTTCTCCCCGTTCTCGATGAGTGTGCGGTCCCAGGCGTTGACCTGCGTGGCCTGCTGGAGGAAGTGTCGCTCCTGGTCCTCCAGCTCCAGGCTCCACTTGTTGATCAGACTCTCCAGCTGGGCGTAGGTCATCGCAGGACTGGTGGACACCCCAGTGGCCACACTGGGGCCAGACGGAGCAGTCACGGCGGTGGGCGCAGTGCTGGACGCCCCGGCTGGAGCCAGGGGTTTCAGATTCAGAGCAAAGCTGCTGCTGGTCGTGGTGGGGGCGGCAGTGGACGTTGCTATGGATGAGGGAGGGGCTGCTCCAGGGGCCTTTAAGCTGAAGCCCAGCGCCCCGGCCCCCGGAGTCGCGGCTGTGGTGGCCGGGGCACCGAGAGTGAGCCCGGTGGTGCTGGACGAGGCCGGCGCGGTGGCGAGCGAGGCGAAGAGCGTGGGCCCAGCACTGGTGGTGGCGGCAGTGGGTGCAGGCGCAGCTGGCTGTGTGGCCCCTGCTCCAGTGGCTGCTGGCGTGGCCGAAGTGAAGGACAAGCCGGCAAGGGTCGTGGGCTGGGTGGAACTCCCCATGGAGCCGATGCTGAAGCTGGAGGTGCCCCCGGTCTGGGCCGCGCTGCCACCCGTGAACGAGAAGCCCCCGGGCGTGGTGGACGGGGCGGCAGAGGTGCTGGAGGAGCTGAACACGAAGCCGGCGGGTGCTGCGCCCTGGCTGGCGGTGACGGTGCTCGAGATGGCGTTGGTGAGGGCGCTGCTGCCGAGCCCGAAGCCGCTGGGCTGCGTGGCAGCTGGGGCGGCAGCAGCGTTGCTCAGGCTCAGCTTCGGGGTGCTGATCCCCAAGGAAAACCCGGGTCCTCCTGCAGCGGGCGTCGTGGCTCCAAAGCTGAACCCTGGGGTCTGAGTCGCTGGCACCTGGGTGGTGAGTGAGAACAGGCTGGTCGAAGGGGTGCTTGCGGCTGGTTGGGAGGGGGTCCCAAAGCTAAACCCGCCAGTGCCAGACGTCGAGAAAGAGAACCCGGCAGCGGGGGTGGCGGTTGCTGTCTTTGCAGTGCCAAACGTGAACCCGCCTGTGGGGGCCCCGGCGCCTCCAAAATTAAACCCGCTCATGGCTCCAGACTCCGGTGGCGGCAGCTACTCCGGCTCCCAATGCAAATCCGTCAGCGTCTGCAACCTTGGGGAGATGTTTAAAGCAGAGGAAGTGACATGATCAGATGGCAGTTTGAGAAAGGCAACTTCGGCGGCACGATGGAGCGCGGTGCGGAGGGCGACGGGGCTGGCGACTCTAACATGCGGCCACCCGCCTCCGCCTGCGGCACCCTCACAGGGCCTTGCTAAACTACAAGGAAGGGCACGTACGCGGCGCGCTAGGAGCTGGATGTGCTCGGACCGGCACGTGCATCCTGCACAATCGGGAGCCCTGCGGCCTTGGGGGAGGAGGCCAGGGTCCAGGCGCTTCCGGCGCAGGGGACTAGAATCACACAAAGTACCACCTTCAGGACCTGCCCCCCAGGTTTCTCTGCTGACTGCAAAAGGAAGTGGGGAGAGGATGCTGCCTTGAGCGCCCTTCTGGACCTCAGAGACAGGCCCCAGAAGCTGGCCTCCATGGCAGGACTCTGGGCCCCGGATGCCGCTGGGGCATCTCCCCACCCTCCCTGCAACTCGGGCGAGCAGGAGACCCAAGAGCTCAAGCAGAACACTCAGAGGTCCTGGCCACAGCGGCCGATTCAAAGAGACACAGAAATTGGAGTCGAAAGGAGGATTCCTCCTCAGGCGCTCCAGGGCAGGTGGCCTCCTTCATCTGCAGGCGCAGGGCACAAAGAACGTGCACCCCCACCCCACCCCAGCCACCTGCGGTGGGAGATAATGAGCTGCCACCAGAGAACAAGGGGGGCGAGGGGAAGCACCCAGAAGAAAGTCGCACTCCCAGCCCCACCCCATCTTCCCAGGAGCTCCGTGAGCCAGCACATCCCTGGTCCCTGTAATTTTTAACTAAAAAAGCCCCGAGCAGAGTCATCCGTTAGCTGGAAATCAAAGGTCACTGGATGAAGAAAGGGTCAGAGGATACAGGGACAGAGGCGTTTTTAGGAAAACAGTCACATGCTGAGAATCCACTGTGCAGTGGGCCTGGGAGACACGTGGGCTCCTGTCTGGAGACAGGGATTCTCTTCCCATGTCTGAGATGAAGAAACGGGCTCAGAGGCTGCGCCAATGCACCCAGCGTCACCCAGCTAGCAAGTGCGGAGCCAGGAGCTGACCCCAAGCCGCGGGCGTGCTCATCGGATGACAGGGTATCGCCCTGCACCCAATTAGAGAATCTAGTCGGTATCAGATTCGAGGGATGATCAGCATAATGCATCATGTCCGCTGATATGGCCTCTAACAATACACAAGAAATGCAGGAAATGATGATCACGGGACCGGAGCAGAATGCAAAGTTACCAGTGCAGTGTGAGCTCAGCTGTGGAAAACAGCTCTAGAGAGACAGGGCGGAAAGGAAACACCGCGAGCTGTGGACAGGCTTCTCTGAGCAGCGGGGGCGGCACGCGGACCCCCCTAATTTGCAGTAGTTTCCAAGTGCTGAGTCTGTGTAATGGAAAAACAACTGACAAGCCACGCCGAAGACACGATCCTCCCAAAGCCCCGTCCCAATCCCCAGAATTTCGGGATACGTGACCACGGGTGGCAAAGAATTCTCAGTTGTGATTAAAGTCAGGACCTTGAGAGGGGGAGATGGTCCTGGATTAGACGAGCCTTAAATGGCATTTTGAATGGCCTTATAAAACAGAGCAGGGGGCGCTGATCCAGGAAGGGAGACCACATGGCGATGGAGGCAGAGATCGGAGTGGCGCCCTTTGAACTGGTAGATGGAGGGGGCCGCCAGGCGAGCGATTCGGGCGGCTTGAAAAGCTGGAAAAAGCAAGGAAACAGATTCCCCTCCGAACCTGGAGCTGGGTCAGTGGGACTGTTCTGGACTTCTGCTCTACACCGTGAGAGGGTCGGTGTGCGCGGTTCTGAGCCTCCAGGTCCGTGACGGACTGAGACAGCAGCCGCAGGGATTAATATAGTTGGGATGCGAAAGCCGAAAGAAGTGACGTGTGGCCCCGAGACTCCCCAGAGCACCGTCCTCAGCCAGGGAACAGCCAATGTCGAGGCTCAGCTCCTTCATCAGCAAAGTCGGGGGGCAGCTGCCATGCTGCTGTGCGGCAGACCGCAGGGCATGAGTTGGGGGGCTCGCTCACACGGCTGCCACATGCTGGCACATGGTCACGTTTTCACTTTGGGGAGAGCCTCTGGAAGCTGGGGAGGCAGGAAGAGAGTGCACTGAAGGGGTGACTCCGCAGGAGGAGCTGTGATCGCCCAGCTGTGAAGTTCGCACGAAAAAGACCGGGGCTGTGGCTGACCCCGTTTGCTACAAATTCGCAGTTGGCTGCCACTGCTCGGTGGGTCCTCGGGCCGCAGAAGTGCCAGCTCCAACGTAGCGACGGGGCTTTCCGGGCAGCTGACTCCAGCCTTGTGCCATAGACCCTCTCCACAGCCAGACCCTCAGCTAAGTCCCCAAGCGTCCCACCAGACAGGATGCCAGCCCGGTTCACAGGTGGGGGAAGAGGCTCAGATCAGGGTGACCTGTCAACTCTCATCCCACAGTGGGCCCCGAACTCCCACTCCACCACCCGGGCCCACCTGGGCACAGTGGACGCCGCCTGCTTGGGGACACGGCCATTCTGGACCCGGCTGTACCCGATGCTGTCACGTGCTCACTTCTCACGTCCCGCAGCCAAGCAGCTCCCGGTTGCCAGGCACGAAGCTGGTCTCCACACGCAAACCATCGGGTGTGAACTCTGCTTCTGCCACCAGCTAGCTGAGGGCCCAGGGGCGAGGGGCTGCTGCGCCTCCCATGCCTCGGCTTCCTCATCTGTAGCGAGGGGGACCACCGCCCCACTGCGAGGAACACACAGGACACGGCCGAGGCCCGGTGCCTGCCTGGCTCACAGAGGCGTCCGCAGTCCCGTTTCCTCTCCCCTGTCCTGCAGGCCCAGCTTCATGTTTTGAAGTGTCCTCAGGGAACCCTCCCCGACCCCGAGTCAGAGGACGCCCACTGCAGCTACCCCTCCCTGACTTCCACTGCGCCCTCCGCCTTTCTCGCAGGCCCCTATTTTTGGGGTCTCCTCCTCCACACAGCCATAGGCTTCTGGAGAGATGACCCTCCACTGGTGGGTCTGCCCACGCCACTGGTGGGTCTGCCTGGTCTAAGCCAGCGGATCGCGACAGGCCGCCCATCAGCACCCCTAGGAGCGCTGGAAAGGTACGCTGACCACCGCCAGAGCAGTAAGGCTGTCTCCCTGGGGACGGCCCCTGGCCTTGGCATGTTCACAAAGCTCTTCTGGGGGCTTCTGAGGAAGGTCTCTTTGCTCTCCCCAGGCCTGCCCAGCGTCGGAGCCCTTCCTGCGTGACAGAACGCAGCTGTCACTACAGAGCCACCTCGGGCTGGGTTTGTTAACAGCCACCCACGTGTCTTAGTTCTCCGGACTTCAGCCCCAGAGAGCTTTTGCTAATAATAAGTCACAGCTAAAATTTTCCAAAGAGTATTTATAAAAAGTCCTTTGCTTTTTACACTCTTAAAAAACCACACGAAAAACTGTCCTCTGTGTGGCTCATCTGGTTTCATGGCGCACCATTTACTGAATGCCTCATCTGTTCCCAACTCCCAGATGCCAGCGATGTAACGGTGGCGAGCAGGTACTGGCCCAGCCCGTTCCGTGTACCTCAGGTGCATTACCGCTCATGGGCTCTGCAAGCGGGTTCATTTGGGGCAGGTCCGCTTTACAACCTAGGAGAGTGAGGCCCAGAGAGGTCACTAAGCATGGCCCTCGTCCTCAAGGCAGCCAGAGACACAGCAAATGTTGGCTTCGGTCCCAGGGTCCGGGGCAGGGATAGAGCTCGGTCACATGGAAGCAGGGGTGAGACCGTCACCCTGGCCCACATTCTGGGGAGCATGTGCCTAAGCTGAGTGTTGAAGGATGTGGGATCGGCCAGGAAACGGGGAGGCAGGGCCTGGTGAAGGCAGACGGAGGCTCACACAGGTGCTTCTGGGGGCGGCTGGAAGGAGCGTGTGCGCTAAGGGTTACTCACGGGGCTTGGGTCGCCCAAACCCTGCACACTGCACAGAGGACAGGCGCCTGCCTGCTTCTGAGATAACTGCTAAGCCCCAGGAGTGTCCTGAGCCATCAGCGTGGCATCTGTGGCTCTGTCCACTTCTCCCCTTGTGTCACGTCACTACGTCCACGCTCATGGCTCAGACTTTATTCCGAGGGAGCTGTGGAGGGATGTGAAGACTGTGGAGGGCTGACACGGCCAGATAAATGCACAGGGATGGAGGGGCGGAGGCTGGAGGCTGGCGGCTGGGAGGAGGCTGGGTAATGGCTCAGGCCGAGAGCTCAAGCCCTGAGCCAGGACTCTGGGGACAGAGGAGAGAACTCTGACTTGGAAAATGAGTAAATCTACACCAAAATGAAGTGACAGTTCCATAGGGTCTGTCCTGGTGAACGAGGCCAGTGACGACCAGGACCTCGGGACTTTTTCACAATTGTGGCCGAACACACACACATGCACACACCCACACACCCACACACACTACCAGGAGCTGACACAGGCTCTGCACTGCTACTGAAGGGGCCAGATTTCCTAGAACAGAAGCCAACAGTGCTCAGGGGAAGGCGAGAGGAACGGAATCCGGAGGAGCGGTACTTTCCTGGAAAAAGCGAAGGGCGCGCCTGGGCTGGGCGGTGGGAACAGATGGCCACAGCCGCGGTCAGCTGCGGGCCGCCCGCGGAGAACCCGAGGCTGGAGGGAGAGGCAGATGCCTCAGAGTAACTGGAGAAGCTCCTGGCAGAGCTGCGGGCCCTACGGCCGCCCACCTTCCCAGGGGAAGCCGCAGAAAGAGCCCCCTGGGATTCCGATTTGAGGACACGATCCACCCGCCGGCTGCGGTCCAGAGTTCTCGGCCGTCATCTCCAGCGTCACCCGCATCCACCCGCCTCACCTCTACCTTTTTCTTCTGCCGCTCTGACTCCTAAGTTCACCACATACTCGCCCCTACTCTGTGCAGTGACGACAACGTGGAGAGGACGAAGGCCCCGCCCCCTAGGTGGGGTCACAGAGTCACGAACTCTT